AAAATAGTCATTTACAATGTCATTTTATTCTAAAAAATCCAACATTTATTTACAAAATTTGAAGATCCTTATGGTCTGAATGCCCTTTTCATTTTAGGGGTGTGTCTTGCAAGATTTTAGAAGTAGTGTTAACACATCACATGGTAGGACCAAATACAATTTGCCAAGTTGCCATGCAACGTACAAAATCAACATGATGAGTGTGTATGTGCATCCATATATACTCAAACCAGTTATTCCCTTTCCTTCTCCTCCTTTATGCTGGGGTTGCCTTTTCCCTATGTGTCTTTGGCCCTCCATCTTGGGGTGTATTATGATTTGATTTTTTTTTTTTTTTTTTTTTGAGAACATGATTTGATTTAGCTATTAATAATTTTGGCTTTCAAAGATGGTGACTACTTGTCCAATTTTCGTCATCAGTCAGTTCAGTACATGACTTTAAAAATTTGTCACTTTCAATTCGTAAAAAAAAAATAATGTCATAAGGCGAACTTCACCCATAGTGCCACTTTCAAGTTTAACTCATCATTGAATATTTGAATATGCCTATTGGCCTTCTTAGGTTCGTTGAGCCGGTTAACTATGGACAACTTATGCTAGTTTACCTCATTGTGGTCTTTTGCAGGCTAGAGTCATAAGACGGACTTCACCCATAGTGCACATCCATATAGCGGCTATATGTGGATTTTCGCGTAAATCAAATTTTTAAAAATCATTATCAAATCTGGTTGATTTTAAAATCGAGAAATCTCTAGTAGTCTTACAGCTTGTTGTATATACTATAGAACGTGGATCTGGATTTGAAAACACAAAGGCAGGCAAGGTGGCATTGCCAGCTTAGTTGAAGGAGCTTTTGTTTTGAGTTCACTTTAGTGATAGGGTTGAATTGAAGCACACACTACTCTGCAGTCTGCAGCCTGCAAATCCAAAACATCTTTTTAGCAAATTAAAGGTGGAGAGAGTGAATTGGGAGCCTCAAATATTGCAAATTAAAGTGTGTTTATAAAAGAGGAGGTGGGGAGAGCTTCCTAATTAGCTTTTTCACCTTCCAAAAGGAGATCCAAAAGCCCTCTTGTCACCATACCAATAGATCCCATCTACTTCCATCCCCATTTATTTTTGGGAAAATCCCTTTAAATTATAAGCAGCCTTTGGACCATTCTTTTAAGTGCATAAGGACCATCATTAGACTAAGGTCTTTTCTTTCTTTTTATTTATTTATTTATTTATTTATTTTTTTGGTGTACCCAGGGTTTCCACCTTCTAACACAGTGACTAATCCCTTCGCTGAATTGTAGACACCTCTTTTGGATGTGATAGCTGACCAGAAGATTTAAGGCTGCTCCATGCCCAAAGCCAATGACTAAACCCTTAACCTTTGGTTAAGAATAGATGAGTCTCTTCCACTCAACCACACCCCCAGATTATTAGACTAATGTCATTGACTCAATTCTTCCAGTCCCAAGTTGACTCCATTGTGTTGAGCTCGTCTTCACCGATCCATCATAAGATGCCGAGATGATGATTTCATTGTGTCTAGATATTCCAAACCAAGTCATTACGAATGACTTTATTAAATTAGGATCTCTCGATTCAAGTCATCATAAGATGGATTGTTAATCCAATTAATCTATTATAATTAAATCAACTTTTTCATCAGTTATATATCTATGAATTTTGTCATAAATCATGTGATGAGAGATTACAAATAATATGACTTAGGTATGGAAATAATATGAGATGGATGTAACACAGGCATATATGGACAATTTTGTACTGATTATGTGAGAATGATAATAGGACAAGTAATCATATCCCCACTAAAATAAATTAAATGGCTTAGACTTGAAGGTATAAAATACAAGAGATGTGGTAGAATAGATTGATTTAACTTAACTCTATATATATATGACATTTGATTCAAGTCTTTTAAGCATGATAATATCTTTACAATATGTAATTTTTTATTTTCTATCCGACAATATAGATTGGGCTTCATGAATAGAGATTTTTATGAGTCTATGAAAAAGCACGAGCTTTAATACCAATTGAAAAAGCACGTGAGTCTTGAATGCAAGATTTAGCTTTCAATAACTTTAATTTTATTTCAAATATAAAGCTGGACTAGATGAAAACATATTCCAGATATAATAAAGAACTTGAAATAAATAACAGTAAAAGAAAGCATGCACCAAGATATGTTCACGCAGTTCAGAACCTCACTCTTACGTCTGCGGGGCCACTCACATCAACCCAAATTCACTATGATAAAAACGGAGTACAAGAGGAGAGTTAATTACACACTACAGTATAACTTATAACTACTCCAGAACCTACTCCAGTGGATCCGATGTGCAGGCGTTCTTCAATGCTTCATGATCTGACAACAAGATCTTCTTCACACTCAATAGTACAGGATGTATTTGGTATAGATGCACCAAGAATTTCAGAGTAAAAGCTTTGTGAAAAAGTGTGTAATGAATGCTAATTAAGGTAGCATTATATATAGATTGTAAAGAATGTTTTGATCCTCAAAATATGCACTCTTCCATTCCTTGAATTCGGCTGCTCCATTAGATTTAAATCTCCCCATTGATAAGGGCTTGAATAAATACTTTGAACAAGCTTCATACCTCCTGGTTTACTTCCTTGTGCTGATCCAGTCAACTACTCCAGACGTGTGACTAATCCAGGACTACTTTGACAACTAATCTAAGCCAATAATAAAGGGTTTAAATGTACAATATATTTACACTTACAGTCTATACGCCTGCGACACCATACCAAGAAAACCCCCTTTGTGCCAAGGTCACCCAAGCCAAGTTTTGATTTATCTCACGCTCTCTTTCGATTAAAATCTATTTTTGAGTTATGATTTTTTATTAATTTATTTCATCAATTAATATATTCTAAAAAGGGTCAAATCTCAAATTAGTCTCCCATTACTTAGATTTTCACTTTCTAAAACTCAAAAAATTATGCGACAAAATAAAAACTCTCATTGTCAAATGTCGAGAAAGATATTAACACTACGATATTCCCTAATCAGTTATGGATTTACAGAACCTTATGGAAAAGGACACATCCATAAAACAATATCACATTATACTAAATCTACGTTATATTTTTATTTTAATATATTTAATTTAACAAGCTAAGGGTGGAAACATTGTTGTAGGCAAGATGATGAGGAGAAGGTCAGAGTGGAATAATTGAAAGCATTTTCCACAGCAAATGTCCAAACACAACCCAACAGAAAAACAACGCAAGCTGAGAGCCCCAGTCTCTATGCTCCTTTGCCATTATGATTCCCATTGTACCTATATTCCACTTCACCTTCAATCCATTCCCCAAAACTTTGACTATTCCAATTCAATTCTTCTACCAATTCACACTCCACTTCAATCCAACATAATCATTTTATAGTCTAATATTTGCTTACCAATATTTACATTCTTAATGTTTAGTACAACTATTATAATAGTCTATGGCTATTCAACTTCTTAATTAGTTTGATCGAACTAGTTAGTTATGTACAACTTAACTGAATTACTTAATTGTGATCTTTTATTGACTATGATTACAGTCTCATAGTTACACATTCGAATAACATGACTACGAACCAGTGAGGGAAGTCCTGCGAAAGGGGTTGAGAACGGTGATTGACGTTTTTGCCCCTCTAAATAACGGTTATTGGATGACATGTGTAACGGAAGACTAAATTGAGTCAATTTTACAAGTTAAAGGACTAAATTGGATACTTTTAATAATTTGGGACTAAATCACGTATTACCTAATAGTCGAGGGACTCTATAAATTATAATCCTTAATATTAGTAGTAAAAAAATTCAGGCCCAATGCATAATTCATATAAAATGGACCAATAGAGTGATTTCATCAATAGTTATGCTATGCAACCGTGCAGGTTGCAAAACGACGTCATTTTGACTAAAAACGCGCGTCTTATTTAAAAAAAAAAAAAAAAAGAATTCAGTTTTGATTTTCCTCAACAGCATTATGTTGTTCATTCATTGTGGATATTTAGTTAATTCATTCTGGATTTTGTATTATTCATTCACTGTGGATATATAATTATGAATTTGTGGATATATAGTTATGAATTTATGGATATATAATTCAAATTATACACACAAAAAATACTATTACCGGAAATCAAACCTGATTTTTTTAAAAAAATGAGACGTGTGTTTTTAGTCCAAACGACGTCATTTTTGCAACTGTGTGCACCATACTTTGTCAGACGTTATGCCATGGAACCGTGTTCACCATTCATGGTGAACACGGTTCTAACGGTGTTAGTACACCGTTATCTTTTTTTTTTTTTTTAAATTAATTGCGTGACTTTTCTTCTTTATTTTCACATTTTGCGGTTTCACTTTAATTTGAGGTGAACAAAGATTTCGGACATTCATAAATTATGAATTCATGCCTGCACATTCACTTTGGAACCATGCCTACATATTCCCGTCCGAAATCACGGACATTCATAAATTATGAATCCATGCCTGCACATTCACTTTGGAACCATGCCTACACATTCACTTTGGAACCATGAGATTATGAATTTTCTGTTATAAGATTATGAATTTTCTGTTATGAGATTATGAATTTTCAGTTGTGAGATTATGAATTTTCTGTTATGCAATTATGAATTTTCTGTTATGAGATTATGAACTTTCATAAAATTCATAATCTCATAACAGAAAATTCATAATTTGATCAAACGCGCGCCGTTAACTCCACATCCGCGAAATTTTTTTTTTTTTTGGCCTAAAAACGACGTCGTTTTGCCTTGTGTTCACCATTCTCGGTGAACACGATTCCATGGCATAATTTGCGATACTTTGTGCACAAGGTTGCACAGCATAATTTGCGGTGATTTCATTCTGCCAACGGCCCAATGCTTAATAGCCTAAAAATTCAGGCCCAATGCATAATTCATATAACGTAATCCATGTTTGTTCTGCAGAATTACAGAAACAAATTCAGAACCCCAATTCTTCGTTTTGCTCAAGTGTTGATTTTTCTTCTTCGGGTCCTAGGGCTTAGCGGACGTAGCTCCAGCGTTCCACAGAGATGGTAATAAGTGATTTTTTTGTGACATAGATCTTGCTTTCAACGGCTTTTCTTTCCGATTCATTCATAAGTAATGAAAGTCTAATAATTTTGTCTAACTTTTAGCTTTCTGCTCCTGCTGTTTATGTCTGATTTGTGAAATTTTTTATTTTATTTATACATGTATTGTGAGCTGGGCTTTCCTTGTTTTCGATCTTTGTCAATTCTGGCAGTGAAGTTTCGGTCTTTTATTAATTTTTCATCGTTTATGACCTCTAATCGATTCCCTTCCAGCAAAGTTTGATGTTTTTTTGGTTATTCTTACTGGATGATGTCGAGTTCAACGTTTAGAAGGTGAAATGGGGCTGCTAATAGCTATCTTATCAGATTGCTCTGGCAAAGCTCTGGAAAAATGTAAAACTGAACTCTTCTGTGCTCCTTGGCTGAAGCAAGAGGAGCACTTTTGTTAATTAACTGGCCAAAAGTTAGGGCTAACTTATAAAAGTATTGTAGACATATTAAGTGGACTGTATATTTTAGGTATGATAAATTGGTTGTGCTTATGATGATCATTGCCCCCCCCTTTGTATTGTATGGAAGCCGCCAACTTTTTATGATTATGTTTTGTGTAATTTGAATTTTGCAGACGACCCCGTTGATTGCAGGAGTTGCCATTGCCGCTGCTGCTTATGCTGGTAGGTATGGAATTCTAGCATGGCAAGCTTTCAAGGCAAGACCACCAGCTGCAAGAATGCGGAAATTTTATGAAGGAGGTTTCCAACCGAAAATGACAAGAAGAGAAGCATCTCTTATTCTCGGAGTCAGGTATGCTCTCTATGCCTGTGTCCTTTTTACCTAGACATAATACCTAAAGTTTGTCTTGGCAACTTATTTTGGTTTTCCGGCCCTTACTTGTACCTTAAAGCTCCCGTCTAACATTTATACATTATGCCTTTAATTGTGGCCTGATGATGCGCTTTTGAGTTTGCTTTCCATTTGTTATCATGGGCCAAGAATGTTGGAATATTTTCTAACCATTTCATTCATTCCTATTTGTTGTCTGAGATGCTTCATTTTAAATTTCCCTGGGTGGTTGGTGGTTGGTGGTTGTGGGAAATTCACTAGATCAACGGTTCCTTACTCCGAGTGTATAATACTCCGTAATCAAGAATGATGGAAGAGCATTCTGAATGATATCTAGTTATATAATGAAAAGAAAGACAATGGTTGCCTGTTTGTTTGTTTTAAGAGTCCCACATTTGATAAAATAAGAGAGAACATATGGGTTTAGAAGGCCATGGGTTAGACTCGCTAATTTGTTGGATTCAATCTTTTAGTGTGGTTTGACCCATGTGCATTATAGCCCAGTTGAGTGACCCTGGTCCGATCTTAGTTTATAACAGTTTGCATTTCGTTGTCGTTATAATTGACATCAAAAAAATTTTATACTTTGTTTTCCTACTAGCTCATTCGACAAGCTGTGTAGTTTGTGCATCTATTGTACCAACCAAATATATATTTACTTCTTTTCAACAATGTCACCAGAGAAAGCACTCCAGCGGATAAAGTGAAGGAGGCTCATAGGAGGGTAATGGTGGCTAACCATCCAGACGCAGGCGGTAGCCACTATCTCGCATCTAAAATAAACGAAGCCAAGGATGTGCTTCTTGGGAAGACGAAAAGTAGTGGATCTGCATTTTGATTTAGCCACATATTAATCAATTCTTTTAAAAGACTAGTGAATCACAAAATCTCTATCCCTGGAGCATCCAGAGTACCACATGTTCATCAAACCTCTACGGCAATTATATACGGAAAATTTTTGGGCTTCAAGAATTAATCAGAAAAGTTACTAGGCCTTTCCCTTAGATGGGTTTGTTGAGTGAGGAAGAAATTTTGCTTCACCCCTGTTTTCTGCTTTGTATACTCTGTATCCCCTAGGTTTGAATGCAATTCATGGTTGCCTAATGACTTATATGTAATAAATTATTTACCTGAACTTGTCTTCTGTGAAATGTAACAGTTTTGTCCTCTATATGATGCCATATTTTCATCCCCATTGTTCTTTACTTTGATTTACTTGAAAACCTGCAGTTTTACCCAAATATATGTCCTTAGTGTAAATTCGTCTTGTGAGACTAGCCAATAAAAGATAAGAAGTAGGAAAGTCAACCTACGGAAGTGGCAGGACGGAAATGGGGGCAAATTATACCATGGACCATGATCTACTTTCATTGTAGAATGTAGACTTTGGTTCAAAAATAACTTTCAGATTCTGTATCTATAGTTGACACATGTTGTACATGTAGTTATCATATTATGTGTCAGTAATTATCAAGTTAGATTATGTATCTATAGTTGACACATTTTGTACCTGTGGTTGATTGTTTATGTACCTGTAGCTATCATATTATGTGTTAGTAATTATTAAGTTACTCCGTATTTGTTTACATGTACATAAATTGTTAACTGTAAAAGTACATAATTTTTGTATCAAGATTCACAATGCAATATGAATTCTGGTCTATGGTGTAAGTGTATATCAATTGCGGAAATGGGTTTGTGGGCCTTTTGCAGGTTTCTCAGGAGGTGTGATTATTCTTTCTGTTCATTAATCCAATCAGAGAACATAATGCCATCCAATTTGTTTATATATTACTGAACTCCAATTTGATGCAATTTTTACAAATGGCAATGTTTCTTTTGATGCCTTTAGAGAAAGTTAAAGTTTGTGTTGTTGGCCTGTTTAATTTGTTAATCTTATTTCGGCCCACTATTGCAATTTACAAAGCCATAGAAATTTGGGTTGTTCTGTTACATAGCCCGTTACATAGTCCCAGAGGTCGATAGGTGATTCTCACAAAAAATCAAATTTGAAATTTTAAAATTACTATGTTAATTGCTACTACTTACCCGGCTCAAATAAAGTTGTCCCCACACAACTTTTCATTGATTTACCATAGAGCTGGCGGCCAACAAATAATTCTTACAAATAATTAAATTTGAAATTTTATTGATCAACTCGAATAAGATTTCTCCGTACAACCTTTCTTGATTTTAAGATATATGGAAAACTTATGCAACGCTCAAGAATTTTAAATACATTTTATATAGAAAAACAATACTATATAATTTATCATCAAATTACACATTAAATCTCGAATTATGCTTATAAAAAGATTGCTTGTGCTATTGAAATGATGGACGGATAAGAACGCAAGGGGGGTTTGGTACGAGGTGCGCAATGGCCGTCTGCCAACCCAAATGGGTATGATTAAGTCTTTAGTAACAATCCTCCATTTGGTCATTATTCATTAATTAGCAACTAATTAAAAGGCATTATTGGTTTTTACATCTCTTTCGTTGATTACTTTAATAATAACAAAAACAATAATTCGCATGTCAAATCGCGCGTGTGTTTGGAGTAGCTGTGTGATTGGGTGGATTCCCTTAATTACCCCTTAAAAGCCAAGGTTAAGACGGTAATCACATTCAAATTAAATGATTAATTAATAGGGAGTCGTTAATCTGCGTTATTATAAAATAATAATGATATTAACCAGAGAGTACAGTTAAAAAGTAACCATTGTTAAACAGATTTGAATGGGCTGGCAGCCCACATGCCGACAACGTTATCTCATGTGCCCTGTCATTACTATACTATTATTTGTCTCTTTCTTTCCTACTTAACATGCCGTCTTCACACTCCCTTTGCAGCGCGTGACTTCATTTTTAGATCGAAATATGAACTTTTTTTAGATCGAAATATGAACTTAAGAACATCCTCAATAGATAACGATTTTAATTGTGAAGAAAGAGAAAATAAAAGTATGAAAAAAAATGAGGAAAAAAATAACAGAACTAACGCGCAATCCACCCGTCTACTAGGCGCGTATCAGTTGCGCGCAACGCACAACTGATAAGAAAGTAAATAATAATTGGGTTAAGCTAATTAAATTAGAATAGACACACTTATTTCAACAATAAATTTTGTTTATTTTAACAATTAAACTTACATACATACTATTGATTAATATGGTTAACTACCTTAAATGTTCATGTCATTTTCAATATTATAAAACAAAAATAAAACCTTCTTCTCCTAAAAGAACAAAATAAAATCTAAGATTCTAACTAGTACACATTGTGGACTTTCTTCATTCCCAAAAAATCCAAACATCTTCATATCAAATTCATCATCCTAATATGTTCTATTGAGAAATATGAGTTCAAAAAATCAAGAATAAAGACATAAACGAAAGAATAACGCATGATTTATGTTGTTTGATAGTATATCTATGTCCACAAGAATTAAATAATTATTTTTATTAAATGTGATTATCATATATCGAACATTACAAATATCATATTTATATGTAATCATAATCTATGATATATTTACAAAATTACTTGTGTACCGTGCCCAACGATCTACACATAAAACCTAATTCGGGTCCACTCTATTCGATTCGCTCCAGTATACTTTAGCACATGTAATCTTCTAGTAACATATGAAACATATATGATAAAAAAAAATCTTAAAAATCAAATATTCCATTCCAATCACACAAATATATAACAAGACTTGGACACAAAAAAACTCTGTTGTCTTAATATACAATATTCTACAATATTCAGATAGTGTTTTCCTATACTATAATCTTACAAAAATATTATAAAAGAATTGTTGTATTCCAATAATACCGGAGCGTGTGGTATATGTCTCAGATGTTGCGATTGTTATTGAATTGATGGAAAAAAAAAATAAAAACAAAGATATTTTTTAATTTATTTTAAAATTTTAATGGTTGTTCTATTACAAGATGGTAATTTCACTAGATTCTAGAAATTGAAATTACAAAATACACTTTTTATTTTGTACCCCTTTGACCCTTTTGCCCTTAAAGTTTGGAGAATCCCATGAACGGTAGATTGTGTAATGACACCAGGTCACCATGTACCCCTGCTGATCTATTATTATTATTATTATTATTATTATTATTATTATTATTATTATTATTATTATTATTATTATTATTATTATTATTTTGTTTTTTAATTCAAATTAACATTTTTGGAATTTTCTGTGACCATCATTTATGACTCTCTCTTTGGCCCCCAATAGTGGATTTCTCTTCGTCATCCATCTCTGCCTCTCTTTGGCTACCATTTTCAGTTTCCTCCCTTTCAAGTTTATATTTATAATTCCTGGAAATTAAGTTATGAAAATAAATTTAAAAATTTTAAGAAATTGTCTTACCGTGAGACATATAATACATTTTAATTAAAATGTAATACATTTTATGAATAGATTGTAAAATATTACATGTCTCACGTGAAACATTATCACACAAGTATTAATCGTTTTTCTTTGAATCTTTTGATTAATGCATGCCAGTTTTAACCATGTAGGAAATTTTCATAAAATATTTGAAATACATTTTTTTTTTAAAATCGATTATGTAATCTCTCGTTAACTCGTTATGCATTATAGCATTTATGACATTCAATTTTAAATTTCAAAATTCAAAATTGTAACCCCACTTAAATATGGAGTACTATTTAACGCATCCCCAATGGGCCAATGTGCAAGAGAGAGTTTCAATACTATATAATTCAAACTTTTTTAAAAATCAAATTATAAATATACTACTAGTGCACACCACATATTTTTTTATTTTGTGACAAATATGACTTGAAAGCCTGCCAAAACTGTATTTTTCCCAATTTATTTACGCTTATGAATTAATTTATCATTAACTAATTATTCGATTTGAGTGTAAAATATAGCAAAATACACCTTTTATTTAAAAATAAGTTGAAAACTTAAATCTTTTTGATCAACCCAAATCATTACTGGTGAACATCGCTCAAAACATTACCACTTAAATATCATTTTCACCTTAATTTTTCAACAAATCCAATCGACTTGGTTTCCTTAACTTTGATCATGTCCAAAATTAATTGCAACTTTTTTACATTCCTTTGTAACTTGAGCTTTTTAAGGTGGCCAATTATAAAAGCTTGAAAAAGAACCCCTAACCTTTTTTGTTTAACTTAACTTGGCAACTTGCTTTTGTGTGGTTTATTAATGGTGGGGAAAGGACCAGTGGCCCCAAGAAGGATGAAGATTGAGGAGGATGAGAAGTAGCACTGCCTTGCTAATGAAGCATGGGTTTTGAATTATTTGAGATAGATGATATTTTGATCAATTTCAAAGCACATACATTTTTATGAATAATGTTGCATATCATAAATAAAAGTTGATGTTATGCCGAAAATAATATTCATTCAATGGACAAATAACAAGCACAAAAAGGGAAGGATAGAGCTAGTTCAAAATTTGGTTTTATGAGCGTTATAGTCTAGGTTTGTTAGGATTGATTTGCACTCCCTTGCGTGCGAGAGGGTCTCTATGTTATATAATTCATTTTTCCTCTAAAAAAGGTTTTGTATATATAGTAGTGCAAATCGTTTTTTTTTTTTTTTTTTCAATGTAGGACAAAGGCTGCTTACCAGCATTCCCGGCCACTTTTATTTTTCAACTCAAATGAGTCTATTTGATAATGAATTTCTCATTTATCAATTACCTATTTTGAGCATACAATATATCGATATCTTTGTCTCACTGCGAAAAACTCGAATCCAATTTGAGACAACCCAGAAGTGAATCCCACATATATTTGTACGACAAAATAACTACTTAAAATGTCATTTTATGTTTTTTTTTTTCTCCAACAGTTGCGACTCCATTTTAATTAATTTGTCATGAATTTCTTATAACGAAACAAAATTATATATATAATGTGAAATAATTTGAGAGATTTAACATTCTTCTAACGTTGGTAACTTTTGATTTTACTATTTTATTAACGGGATAAATTCCTTTTTGTTTGGAGAAAGAAAAACAAATGATTAGAGTGAATGCACTATTGGCTATATATAAATGTGAATGCAATATTGGCTATATATCGATTATAACCTAATATTTGTTTTCAAATTACAGTTTCAATTGCAAATTTAATTCATTTGTTTATTAGTTCATTTTTTTTACGGAGGACGAAAGAAATTCACAATTACTGCTTGAGCGTATATATCAAGTAAACGTAAACTCAGTTATGTACATTTTTCTTTATGAATTGGGTGTCACTTGTGTGAAATATGTGATTCACATAAATAAACAAAAGTTCATTTCACCTATATATACTTGCATGCATTTTGTAAATGTGTATATATTTATTCTTTGTTTTGTTGCTAAAATCGATTCATGGTGCAAGACAGAATGTAAATCATACAAATAAATGAGTTTCTACTTTAATTTTAAATAAAAGAAGTTTAAATATCTGTCAAAGACTTTGTGGTCTAGTGACAACAATTCAAGTTACTTAGTAAAGTCTGTAATACTCAAGTTTAAATATCTCTACAAATTAAGTGAATTAAACCAATGTAAAAATTTGATATTCTATAATAATCGCAAAATGTAAAACTATATATATATATATATATATATATATATATATATATATATATATATATATATATATATATATATATATATATGAGTTATAAAATAAAAAAAATTAAAATTATAGCAATACATGTTTAGGACAAAGGCAAAAATGCCTTTTGACCAGATTAAGAGAGTGGGGGACGGCACAGGGGGATGTTCCTGTCATTTAACAGAGGGCAAGTCGGTCAGACAAAATATCTCCGCTATTTCTTACGGAGTATTTTATTATTAGTATTTATTTGTTTTTAAAATTTTAAAATCTCCACACTAATTGGCTGTGGCCAGCACCATCTGAACCGTCCACTCCCACCATCCAACGGCATCTAATGGCCCACGAGAAATAGGAGGGAAACAATTCCAGCCGGTAGATCTATCCGCTTCCTTGTATAAGAAATGCTCACTAGGTTCTCACTCTCCTCACACTCCACCGCTACATTTCACTCCCTCTCTAAACTTCCGATCGAGCGACATTTATCTCTCGATCGGTTTTCGAATCTCCTCCGGCTAAGTTCAAATTCGCTAAGGTAATCTCTCCTCATTCTGTACTCGTAGATCTGTGTAATCTACAGCATTTCGCGTGTTTGTGTACTTGCAATCGCTTTTCGAACTCATTGCTTCTCTGTTGATTCGTAATGAATGTTGGAAGATGCGATTTCGATTTGCAGTGTTCTCTAGTTTGCTCCTTCTTAGTTGTTACTATGATATCCTGTGTAAATGATGAGAGGTTTGATGCATAACAGCTCTCTAGATCCGGAGGTGTCTAGTTGATTTCTCGGATACGTTTTTCGTTGTGTTTTACTCTATTTATGCGTCTGGTTTCAGTCGTCGATGGTTTTGTATTTCTGCGCATTTGTACTGTTTGTCGGTTTTTGGATCTGAATGTGTTTTTTCGTTCCAACTTTTAAAATTCAAAATATGGTTTGAGAGCCATCGTAGTTTAATCTGCTATGTTCTGGTAGATTTGGTCAGATCTGTAAATTTGATAACAAAATGATTCTTCTAGTGCAAAGATGCTTAGATTTGGGAACTGATACTTTGCTTTGAGTTTTATGTAATTCTGTTGATGGATATGGACAATCTGATTTCGCGCTTGTAAATTGTGAAATCTGATAGAAATTACTGGTGTTAGTTCGTAGATTTGTATACATTTATTTATGTATAATTGATAATGACTTAAACTTTGTTGTTATGTTCAAGCTTGAGTTTAGGTGCATATCATGCATTCTTGCTTATTGATTAATTTTTTTAGTGTGTAATTGTTTTATCTACCAAATTTCAGGGAAAATGAGAGAAATCCTCCATGTTCAAGGTGGGCAGTGCGGAAACCAGATTGGTTCCAAATTCTGGGAAGTTGTCTGTGATGAACATGGCATAGACCCAACAGGACGCTACTGTGGGACTTCTGATTTGCAGTTGGAGCGTGTCAATGTGTATTACAATGAGGCTTCCTGTGGAAGGTTTGTCCCTCGTGCAGTGCTCATGGATCTGGAGCCTGGCACAATGGATAGTGTTAGGACTGGCCCTTACGGCCAGATCTTCAGGCCCGACAACTTTGTGTTTGGTCAGTCCGGTGCTGGAAACAACTGGGCTAAAGGGCATTACACCGAGGGTGCAGAGCTTATTGATTCAGTTCTTGATGTTGTGAGGAAGGAGGCTGAGAATTGTGACTGCCTCCAAGGTAATTAACTGCTTTCTTTTGTTAGTCTTTGTCTTTGTTCTGAGCATTGCAGTTGTTTCTAACCTTTAATGCATCGTTGGTTCACAATTTGCAGGGTTCCAGGTCTGCCACTCTCTTGGTGGTGGAACGGGTTCTGGTATGGGAACATTGCTGATCTCAAAGATCCGGGAGGAATACCCTGACAGAATGATGCTCACATTCTCTGTATTCCCATCACCCAAGGTTTCAGATACAGTGGTTGAACCATATAATGCCACACTCTCGGTGCATCAGCTTGTAGAGAATGCTGATGAGTGCATGGTGCTTGACAATGAAGCTTTATATGACATATGTTTCAGGACTCTGAAACTCACCACTCCCAGCTGTGAGTATACTTCTTACATTTAATTGTATTCAATATCTTGTAGTGTGTGGCTTAAAGTTTGTCAAGATATCCATTAGGTGGCTTATTACTAATTTCTGCATGTTGATGGGTTCTTCTGTTCTCTGCATTACATAAATAGTGAAAATGTGATGGTTTTGTTGAAGATATTATTCAGTTTAAAGCTTAGAATCATAATGGTCTTGTGGGTTATCCTGCAGACAAGGGCTGTGATTTAAGTTATTCCATATTTGTTAGACCTGCATATTAGTTGGGATATTACTGGTGATGTTGCCTTTGTGCCGATCCCTTTTTTCATCACTAATACTACTTTTTTTTTTTCTTTTTTTTTTTTCTTTTAGTTGGTGATCTGAATCACTTGATTTCTGCAACAATGAGTGGGGTGACCTGCTGCCTCAGGTTCCCTGGACAGCTCAACTCTGATCTCCGGAAGCTTGCTGTCAACTTGATTCCCTTCCCTCGTTTGCACTTCTTTATGGTGGGTTTTGCTCCTCTCACTTCTCGAGGATCCCAGCAATACCGTGCCCTTACAGTTCCTGAGCTTACCCAGCAAATGTGGGATGCCAAGAACATGATGTGTGCTGCTGATCCTCGCCATGGACGTTATCTCACTGCCTCGGCGATGTTCAGGGGCAAAATGAGCACCAAGGAAGTGGATGAACAAATGATCAATGTGCAAAACAAGAACTCCTCTTACTTTGTTGAGTGGATTCCAAACAATGTGAAGTCGAGTGTGTGTGATATTCCTCCTAGAGGTCTCTCAATGGCATCTACCTTTGTTGGCAACTCTACATCCATTCAGGAAATGTTCAGGAGGGTTAGTGAGCAGTTCACTGCCATGTTCAGGAGAAAGGCTTTCTTGCATTGGTACACTGGCGAGGGAATGGATGAGATGGAGTTCACTGAAGCTGAGAGCAATATGAATGATCTTGTTTCAGAGTACCAGCAGTACCAGGATGCCACTGCTGATGAGGAATGTGAGTACGAGGAGGAAGAGGAAGAAGCTTGTTGATCACTGATGATAAGGAAGGCAATAGTTAAAAAGCTCGCTCTTATCCTATGTGATGTTACATGTATTGTTTCTCTTATTTGTGTTGACTTAAATATGTCCCCTGTATTTGGATGGTTCTTCCAGTCTGTTTCTGTAGTAGCCATGCCTAGATGTGGAGGAGAGTGGATGTTTTGGGTAGGTGTGGAGTTGTTCCTTCTGTCCATTTAAATGCCGTATTTGATGATACTGAGTATGTTGTTATTTGGATTGTGTACTTCAAAATCTTCTGTTATGGCATTGAATTTCTCCATTTTCTTTTCAAAAATATTGTGCCATCAGTAGATGATTGAAATTTTCTTCAACGATTGAGTTGTTTCAGTATTTCAAACCATTTGCTTCCTGGCTGCCTTCCCCTGGACATTTCCTGTTGCTTTTCTTGCTGATATTTTGTTCAATGCACCTTATAATTTAGCCGAAACATTGTTGTATTCTCAAGTCATACGTTCATACTGTTACTAGAACTGGGTGCAGGGCACGACATGTGCGATAGATATTTTTTGTGAAGGAATATCTTGGTGGTGGGTTTGGATACTCATGTGATTCAATTAATGCCTGATAGGGTAAAGGTTGGAATTGCAATATAACCGACAGAAGGAGCATTGGCAAGGTGAGTACTCTACCCAGCATCATATAGCTGTCCTTTTAACAAGAATGGACATTTGCATTATGATATGATAAGGTTCATCACGTGATTTTGCAGCCTACAAGTGGCACTCTCTTAGTGGCACCGTTGTCCATGTGGAATTTACACTACATGTTTGGCTGTGTTCAACATGGTCATAACATTAGTAATCACATGCATGTGCGCGCCACCTGATATGTAAATAAACATTATCCCTAATTTCACTTTATCTTTCTCACTTTGTGTTCTCCATTTATAACTTTTGACAAATATAGTCATATATGTTTAAAGAGAATCTTAATTTAAATACTATTCATTGAGAAGATTCTCACCTTTGTCACTACAAATTGGTGAGATGAAAATAAATTAGAGTGTCTTTTGATTTTATGTAACAATTAAATGTGTAAATTAGAATTGTATTGTGAGACAAAAAATAATGACTTTATCCTCACTCCTTAACTAAGATTTGCCAAAAATTATGATGGAAGACCAATAAAATTATCGAGGGACTAATATCAATAGTTTTAAGTGGTAATTTCACTAAAGACAATAGATTAAAAGTGTAACAGAAGATTAAAAGTGTAATTAGTCCATAAACAGGAGTATAAAATTTGGTATTACAGAAAAATACTCCATAGAAGTCACTACCACCACGTCCACCTTTAGCATCTTTTATATATATATATATATATATATATATATATATATATATATATATATATATATATATATATATATATATATATCGAAAGGTAACTGAGCAAAAGAAAAAAAAGAAGAAGAAATAAGTGATAAAATAAACATATACATAGTTAAATTAAGATAATTGGATGAGTATATTGTTAATATATCTTGAAAGCCGGCGATTTGGTAGGAGATGTAGGCACAATCTATTTATTGGATTAATTCATATTTACATGTAACTATCACATGTACATATGATGGTTACAAGCAGGATATATACCAAGCAAATAATGTCATTATATTTGCAAATGAAGCAAGTCATTATGCTGTCTAGTTGTAGTAAAAGACTACATATAGCAACACAGAGACATAAAGCTGTTATTTAATATTTATTATATATTAAGTTTTTTCTTTAAAAAAAAAACCCAGAGGACTAGAGGAGAGTGGTCACTTCTCATTCACTTCTCAACAGGCATACATATTAGCAAACAACTGATTTCAAACTTTTTTTTTTTTTTTTTTTTTTTTGCTAAGTCTACTAATATGTAAATATGTTACCATATCTGTATATTGGCAGCTTTTGCCTTTTAGTGGTATAAAAAGGACTAAGTTAGCCCCATAATAGGGGAAATATCCCCTATTGGCATGTTCTTAAGATTCTTAACTTTATCCAACAACAATAATGAAGCTTAAAATCATGCATCTCACACTATTACTTTCCAGTGATGATGAGCCATTTTAGGAATAAATGTGATAGTTCTACCAGCAATGGTTTTAAGAAAGTTGATGTGTAGAGTGTGCAAGTTGATAGAGAGGAGATCAGAGCAATAATCAATGGAATACATAACCATTCAAAATATCTCTAAAGCAACGTGTTTGCATGTTTGGGTTACCTCCCCTGCTCTCCACAAGGTTTCAAGTTCAACTTTTCGTGAAAGCTGCCTAATCAAATAGGTTAAGTAGGAGTGTGTTGAAATATGCACTAACAGAGGCGATCGAACCTATGACATTTAAAGCACTAATATATATCTTACATCTAGGCTACTTCGTCCATTAGTTAAATTTATATATATTTAGTAGTTGTAAACGTTTAGCGTGTATATATATGAGACCTATACATATAAATACAATACGTATAAAGGGGATGGGGATGGGGATGGGGATGGGGATGGGGGTGGGGGAAGGGGAGTAGCTGCCCCGCTGCCCCCATTATGGATCCGCGTCTATGCACAACAAACAATGTAGGATATGAAACATGGGAGGAAAGTATAAATAGTATGTGATTATAAATATTTTTTTCAAATATACACAAGAGTTGCATCAGATAAAACCATTTATTAAAGGAATTGAGAGCATAACATTCTCGACTTACCTTCCACCATTAAGCAAAAATGTCTTTAAATTAAAATTCTGACTAAAACGTTATATGTGTCCACCACTTGTTTGTTAACTTGTCGTAAGGGCTCTTGACTCCAAAAGGCACAAGATGATGGTTAAGCCGTCGCAAAAAAAATTAATTCATGGTATAATTTATAAGAGAGGCCGGGTTTTGTGATAAATATAAAATGTAGCAACATCATTGTTTGACCAAAAATTTGTCATAGGAATGCTGTGATTCAAGTTGTCGGCATTACATATTGTTAGTAGATTAGAAAATGCAGCTTGTAGGAAATATATATATGTAGATGGCCGGACTTCAATGTCCATAAACTTGACTTTGCGAATTGCAGGGTTGAGTGAAGATCAAATTTTGTTGGTAGAAAATGCTAGCAAGATATAGTAATTGGGTATATTAAATACATGCACTTTAACATGTATCTCAGATAGAACTTGTGAAATAAAAGAAATTGAACAAATAACTTAAGTTGCTACGTGATGATTTAACCAGGAAAAAATGTTAAAAAGATTGTTTTACACTCTCTCAACTTATGCTGCATCTCCATTCACTCAGAAAAAAAAAATGCAATAATGATGACATTAAAATCACTCTCACAAACATAGAGATCATGAGTAGTTACAAAAAGTTTTAAAACTTCTGTTACCAACCTTCAATAAGTAAAATAATAATTTAAATTATTTACAGATTACATATATTTAAAACTGATCAATAATTAATTATATTAATAATAAATATAATATGCATCCTCGAATCTTCATCAACAAATCTTATATCAAAAGATTTTATCATATATCTTCAATGAATATCTTTCGATACCCAAGATATATTATTTGAAAAAGATTTTATGATACTCCATTCCAAAATAGCTTACTAAATATCTTTTCGATGCCTCAATATTTAACGTTTGAAAATATCTTTCAATTATCTAAACATAAAATCTACTACTATATATTTCTAAAAGAAAATAACAAAGTGATGATGTATTTGCTAAATTAGAATCCTTAAGATGGTATAGAGATATATGCATTTATATTGTCTGATCGGCTTTCAAATTTCAAGTCAGGTTTTTTTTTTTTTTTTTTTTTTTTTTTTTTTTTTTTTTTTTGTCTACTATTTAAGATAAATAATATTGGGAAAGATAAACTTATCTCAACACTTAAGTAAGTCATATAAATTAGTACGTAACGGGGCGTTTTGGAAGGAGTGAATTATGCGGGAAATGAATTGCAATTCCATGGGAAATGAATTACTGGGAATAAAGTAGGAATTTAAATTTCATTGTTTGGTTTACAAGAATATAATTACTGGGAATTTTAATTTCAATGTTTGGTATACATGAGAATTGAAAGGGAATAAGTAGTATAAAGTCTAAAATGTTGTGGGCATCAATTATAAGTTTAAAATAGGAATGAGTAATTTTGTCTCATGATTACTTTCTTTTCTTCCTAAAATCCACCGTATTAAAATCTCGGGGGGGGGGGGGGGGGGGGGGGGGGGGGGAAACATGGGATTTTAATTCCATGAAAATAAGAAAAGTGTAATTCTTTCAAACCAAACTAAATAATTTAGTGGTCTTTGAAATTAGGTAGGAAATAAGTGGGAATGGAATTTAAGTTTCCTCCAACCAAACGTCCGGTAATTGTTTTGCATCACACATTACGGCACATAAAATTATTTATGGTAGATGTCACAATATTTTGGCTATATTTAGTGATTAGCTATTAACGATTAGTAGATTGTGTTAATTATTAGTGATTAATTGATTTAAATAGTTAATACTATTATTTTTCCAAAAGGTTGAACCCCGGCCCAATCCTAAGGGCTCCCACACTCCGATCCGACATAACATTTGGGAGGATGTAAATTATGGTAACTTAACTGATCACGAACCACGGAAGCTAGACCTTTGCTCATTGCGCACAATGAACTCCCTCACTTTGAGCTAATACTATTATTTGTTTGTAAATAAGTGTTTGATAAAAATTTAGGTAAAATTTTTGTATAAAATCGTATTGACTTTGAAATTTTAGTACTAAATTATATCTATCTAAAAAGATTTGGTCAAAATAATCACGCTGGCAAAAGTCTGTATTTTGTTTTAGTAATAATCTTTAATTAATTTTTTGATGCAATAAAATGGTAATAATCTTTAATTTTATTAATAAATTTCCATATACAAATGTGGAAAAGTTTAAATTTTGGTATAAAAAAAAGTAATTAAATGACAATTTCCAAAATAAGTTTATGGTAACAAAATTAATTAGTACTAACAGATTGGATTTTTTTTTTTTTTTTTTCAATTTTGATGTCATTGGTTATTGAATCATTTTCAGATTTAGTCCCTGATTATTATTATTTTTTTCACATTTGATTTATGACTTTGAAAATCTTGTCACATTTTGTTCTACACATTTTAAAACCATGTTGTATTTGATCATCTGGCCTAATTTATTGTCTCCAGTGATCAAATTTGTATCGCTATTTTACTGAATATGAGTGCATAATAATCAAGTGACTTATCTTGAAGGACAAAACTATCATTTTCTTAGACATTTGTCAACTAAAAAATTTGATCACAGGTAATCATAAATTAAGCCGAATGACTAAATGTGAAAAAGTTTTAAAAGTCATGAAATCATATATAAAAAAATAATGATCAGAGACCAAATGTAAAAATGCTCCAATGATCGTGAGACTTAAAGGTAAAAAAAATCACTAAAAGATTAATAAGAATAACCTCAACAATGTTAATTTTTTGGAACTAAGGGTGTGTTTGAAAATCAGGAAAATGACTTTTGGATTTTTTTTTTTTGAAAAATTAGTCATTTTCCATAAAATATTTTCATTTCTAGTGTCTTGTCGCATTTCAGAAAATTATCTTGGTGTATTTAGTTCATTTTATGAAAAATGAGCATAATTGTATAATAATAATAATAATAATAATAATAATAATAATAATAATAGCGTTGGTGTGGAGGTGGTAGTGACGATGATGCTAGTGGCGGTAGCGGCAATGATAATTTGTGTGTGAAGAAGGTTGCAACAAGTGTGTGAATTATGAAAAATGATTTCTAAAAAAAAAAAAAGAAAAAAGAAGAGGGGAAGTTATTTTTTGAGGAAAAACAAAGACACTTTTCATTTGACCAAAAGTTTTTTTTTGTTTTGGGTCTTTTTTTCCTTGACTTTAGTTTTTCACGTTTTGTCAAAAACTAAAACCCAACAAAAAAAAAAAAAAAAATCTCCAAAACACACCCTAAAGATTAAATTTACAACGTAAATTATATTTTATATTTATTTATTAGGGATTAGGGATGAAAAGCAGAATCATAACCTCGCGCGGGAGAACCTTTTTTGAATTGGATTCGAGCACGCGGTTAGGGTGACGGCCATGGATTGTCCCAAGGACTTTAAATTGATGAGGGATCGACTTGTTGAGATGATCTTCACCTGCAAAGCCACCAGGTGCTCCGCCTGCAACAAGGTTCAATTGGCTTTTCCAAACGAGACGAAGATGAATCTGAAGGGGGTCAGCAATTACAGCGATGCTCATGCTCAGCCATTGACTGATGACATCAAGGAAGAGTCTTTCACTGTCCGGGAGGCGTTGAGGATCAAGGGGATTCTCGATAACTACGAACAAGAGGTTTATTTGTAATTAGTGTTGTTGAATCTTATATGAATTTCTTTTGTTAGTATCTTTTCAGTAAATGGTTTTAGTGTGCTTAAATTGTTTCCTTATCAATTCAGTAGATTCTTGGTTTAAAGAGGACTTTATGTTATTGAGCATGCTGGTTGATCAAATGAAAATCTATCCAAGATTTTTATAGCTTTTGTGCTAATTTATTTGTTGTCCAGTTTAATTTGCATGATTGATAATGGCATTGGTGAGTTTTGATCTGTGGTGCTCTTTTTTTTTTTTTTTTTGATGACAGTCTGATTCTGTACTGTTTGATTCGCTGAGGAGGCTTCAATTGATGGATTTTTCTTTCGAGACACTCAAGGTTTGATCTTTTGCCTTTTATTTTACTGGAAAGTCTACCTTGATATTGATATGTGTTTCTTTATTCGCAGTGACTTAACTGAATGATTCTTGTTTCAGGCCACACAGATTGGAAAACCTGTGACTTGTCTACGAAATCATGGATCTGAACAGATTAAGCATCTTGCCTGTACATTGATCCAGTATGTAATTCTTGGCTTGTTGCTTTTAAATGGTTCTAGCTTTTTGTTACAAAATCGTCTTCCAATGTTTCTGATTGTGCTCTTTTTCGGTATAGTTGCAAAATGATTGGTGACATGCTATTTTCATGGCTGTTTCCCTGATAATATTAAAACATTCCCTCCCTCATTTGCCTATTTTGACTTTCCTTTGCTTATGAAAAGTTTACTTTATTTGCCCATTCAATTACGAAATCTTTAACCCCTTAGTACCTGGATTCTACAACCTTATGCTAGAATGTTTGATCTCTTCATTTATTAACCCTTTAGTACCTTGACTCTTTAACCCTTTATTTGAATCAATAACATTTGATCTCTTCATTTATTAATTTATGTATATGTGGTTATTTCCCTTTTTTGAATAGTTCTGCTCTTCAAGTTATCTATAACTTATATTTTCTAAATGCATAGCATTAATTACAAAGCAAGATTATGGCCTGAGTTTACTTGACGTTTGTTTGCCTAATGATCAAATATGTTATCAGTCACACTGCTTTGATAGCTGAATAAGCTCAATTATGTCTGTAGCTTCGCGTCTATTTTCATTCATCCCCTGATTGGTTCCATTTATGTTGATTATAGGGATTGGAAGGTCATGATAAATGAATGGTTCGAAGCTACAGAAGCCACTACAGGTAGTTGCTAGGAGCCTTTATTTGGGTTATAAACGCGCTCAATGTAAGGTTAAAGATTGATTTATTGAGTATTTGAATGTGCAGAAGCAGAGAAGAAGGAGGAGGAAGAAGGACTTCCTTCTCCACCCTTGGATTAGGGAGCTTTCTTTACAACTGCTTCAATGGAGTTATCACAGGTACACATCCTCTAATCATTCTTGAACAAATTTGCTCTTGCTATCCTCCCTTAAAAGTTATCACTGACTGGTTTTTGTTTCCAACCAAAATGTGGGGGCATCAAACTGGAGTTCACTTACATATAAGTACAAAATTGGTTGTTTATCTAACTGATATAATTTCGTTTGATTAGAAGTTAAAGACTTCAGATGAGGATTCTGTTCAAGTGAGATTGGAAGTGGCAAAGAGGAAACTTCAGGAACGCCACTAAGAAGTATTAGCATTGTAAACCTCAACGATATTACTTTTTAGAAACCAGAAAAATGCCTTCAGAAGAACATTTTCTGAAAAAATGAGTCATTTTCATAAAACATTTTCATTTTCAGTATATGGTTGTATTCCAGAAAATTGTCTTGCTCTATTTAATTCTTACAGAAAATGAGTAGAATTGTATAATTAAACATTTTAATTGTGTTTGTTTAGAATATAACAACATTTATAATAATAATAATAATAATGGTGGTAGTGGTGAAGGTGGTGATAGTGGTCGTGTTGGTGTTTGTGGTAGTGTTATTTGTTATTATATAATAATAATAATAATAAGTGGTGGTGGTGGTAGTCGCAACGATAGTGTGTGGGTGAAGGTAATGGTGATAGTGGTGGTGTTATTTGTTATTATAATAATAATTACAATAAGTGGTGATGGTAATACTGTAGTAGTAGTGTAGTGGTGGTGGCGGTGACACTGACGATAGTAGTGGTGGTGATGGTGGCAATGGTAGTGTGTAGGTGAAGAAGATTGCAACATGTGTGTGAATCATGAAAAAGGAGGGAAAGTTATTTTTCAGGAAAGCAAATAAAATTTTCCTTTGACTTGAAGTTGTTTTCCTTTCACTAAGTTTTCCATGCTTTGCCAAACACGGAAAACTCAGAAATTTTCAAAACACACTCTAGGAATGAAAGTAAACACAATTAACAATCAGATACCTTTCAAAAAAAAAATCAGATACAAATTCTATAATTATTCTATAATTTAGGGATAAAAATTACAATTTTTTCAAAATATATATTAAAACAGATTCCATAAAATAAAGAGTTCTACTACATGTACTCCCTAATCTTGCACCCTAGATTTACTCCCTGATGTGACGAATTCTGATAAACTATTTTTGTGATGTGAATCCCAATACAAGTGTCTGCATTGGAGTACAAAATTAAAATACACATAGCATTTTCCGAAAATAAACCCAAAAGGAAATATTAAAAAACAAAATTGCAGTAGAAAATTTTTGAAAAGACAGAAGACTCCGCCTTCTCTCTTCTCTTCTTCTCCGGAGTGCGAATTCTGATTTCTTTGGTATTATCGAGCACGCGGTTATGGTGACGGCCATGGATTGCCCCAAGAAGTTCAAACTTCAAATTGAGGAGGGATCGATTTGCTGAGATGCTCTTCAAATGCAAAGCCACGAGGTGCTCTGGGTGCAACAACATTGAATTGGCTTTGCCCAACGAGGACGAGGTCAAACAGAAGCGTAAGAACACTGGGTTCGGTCGGGAATTCCAGAATGGTGCGAGTAGTAAAGAGAGCAAAACCAGTGACAGCCCGGATGATCGTGCGGAGATCGTGCGGGGATTGTGCGGAGATGGAGATGAATGTGAAGCAGGTTAGATAATTTCTTTTGTTAATATCTTTTCAGTAATTGGTTTATCTAACTGATATAATTTCGTTTGATTAGAAGTTAAAGACTTTAGATGAGGATTCAGTTCAAGTGAGATTGGAAGTGGCAAAGAGGAAACTACAGGAACGCTACTAAGAAGTCATTTTCTATAAAATATTTTCATTTTCAGTGTTTTGTTGTATTCCATTAAATTATCTTTGTGTGTTTAGTTTATTTTACAGAAAATGAGCAGAAGTATATAATTAAACATTTTAATTGTGTCACTATCTTGTGGTTTAGTAACACGAAATGACTATCCAAATAGGAAGTCATGGATTCGAGCCTCAGTGTAGCGGTATTTTACTATTTGTTTTTTTTAGGTTGAGAAAGTAGCTATGAACATATATTACATTCTAATAGAGTTAGTAGCGATGGTACTGTTATTTGTTATATAATAATAATAAGTGGTGATGGTGGTGTGATGTGGTGGCGGTAGTGATGGTTGTGACAGCGGTGGCAGTAGTGTGATGTTGGTGGTATGGTGGTAGTAGTAATTGTGGTGGTGGTGCTGGTGATAGTAGTGGTAGTGTTATTCGTTATATAATAATAATAATAATAATAATAATAATAATAAGTGGTGGTGGTGGTGGCAATGGTAATGTGTAGGTGAAGAAGATTGTAGCATGTGTGTGGATCATGGAAAACGACTTTCAATAAATGAGGGGAAGTTATTTTCCAGGAAAGTAAAGAAAATTTTTCTTTGACTTTAATTTTTCACACTTTGTCAAACACTATCATTTTCTTTTTTTTGGTGAGTAAAAAGGAGCTTAGGAGCCCCAGAGATTAAGAAAGCCGTCTCGATGCCACACTGTTGGCATCCCGAGCTAGCAGAGAGCTCATATCGCTAGTGAGGAGATCCAGCAAAGTTGTCCCCGCAAAAATAACTATGTCCCAAATTGACTAAGAAGTCCGCACATTGATTTCCTTCTCGAAGGACATGGTGAAACTCACACTCGTGAAAACCTTCCATCAAAGACTTGCAATCAACAATCAAAGTGTCAGCTTCCGGGTTGGATCTCGAGTCATTGTGTAATGCTCGGACCAAGGCCTCCGAATATGATTCCGCAAGAAGACTCAGAACACCGTAATTTTTTGCTATGATTAGCCCCTCCCGGAATCCCCAGAATTCTGCTATAAAGCTGCTTGTCACGTCTATCTTGAAGGTAAATCCCATGATCCAATTGCCCAAGTGGTCACGGGGAATTCCCCCTGCGCTGGCCATGCCCGAGTGTGCTTTCTTGGAGCCATCTGTATTCAGCTTAAGTCTACCAGGCGGTGGTGGAGATCAGACCAGAAAACCCACGTGAGCTTCCCCATTATTGGACCTCCACGTGGGGAGATCGTGCGAAGATCGTGCGGAGATGGAGATGATCGTGCGGTTATGGTGACGGCCATGGATTGCCCCAAACGAGATGAAGATGAAGATGAATCTGAAGCGGGTCAGCAATTACAGCGATGCTGATGCTCAGGCATTGACTGATGAGATCAAGGAAGAGTCTTTGACTGTCCGGGAGGCGTTGAGGATCAAGGGGATTCTCGATAACTACGAACAAGAGGTTATTTTTAATTAGTGTTGTTGAATCTTATATGAATTTCTTTTGTTAGTATCTTTCCAATAACTGGTTTTAGTGTGCTTAAATTGTTTCCTAATCAATTCGGTAGATTCTTGGTTTAAAGAGCACTTTATGTTCTTGAGAATGCCCAGGAGTATTTGGAAACTAAGATGCTCTGTTGGTTGATCAAATGAAAATCTGTCCAACATTTTTATAGCTTTTACAGATTCTTGCAAGTGCTTTTGTGCTAATATATTTGTTGCCAGTTTAATTTGCATGATTGATAATGCATTGCTATTATAGTATTATTATTATTATTATTATTTATTACATTATAATAATTTAACCTGAACAACAGTGAAGCACTTTCCAGTTTCCAGTGATGAGCTATTTTAGGAATAAATGTTATAGTTCCACAAGCAATGGTCATAAGAAAGTTGATGTGCATAGAGTGTGCAAGTTGGTTCATGACCTTTGGCATTGCTCTATATCAAATTGAAGCATGTGTCCCATCTCAACTAAAAATCTATGCTAATAATTAGATTGCACATTAATGATTATATGCTCAACAAGACTCAGTGGTCCACCAAATAAAAAAGGATCGGAGAGCACTGAATGGAAATATCTTCTAAAGGAACATGTTTGGGCTACCTGCCCACTTTGAAGTGCACAATATATAGAAGAGAGAAAAGATTATACACACACTGGTGACACTGCCATTAACTCTGTGGAGTAAAAAGATTGTACACACCATCATTAACTTGAGAAACAAAGAATACAACCTTTATAAACAGCATAATCTAAGTTGATTATATAGTTAACTTGATAACTACAAGGTTTTAAGTTCGACTTTTCATGAGAGTTGTCTATTAACCTTTTTAGTTTGAGCCAATCAGGCAATTTAAACTGGTGTACCTCCTTGTCCTTTATTAGCTAGGGACACAAAACGGACTTCATCTAAATCGCACTTTAATAGCGGTTACGGACTTTTCCATAGATAGAAGAATACAACCTTTTCAGCTTCTCCAATTTTACAATTGAAATGTTGGAAGAATTGGACAAATTGAAAATAATTCGGCCCAACAAATCACTTGGCCCAACTAACACTTTTTGGTCTTGAATTACAGGTCTAGCCCACTACTGGCAATGTTTCTCCATTTACACAACTGCTCCGACATAGACTCTCTGTATATTTGATATCATAATTTCTATTGTTTTATTTACAAAACTTAAATCTGATGTTATATTATAAAAGAATTGATTTTTTTTTTACTCGAATTACAAATTGTTGACTTTACCATACCGTGCTCCATGGTTTAAATTTGACTAAACCAATGGAGTAGTTGACAAGATATGCACCATACTTTTTTGATCCATCTATACCATTTTTTCAACTTTAATATTTTGTTTTCCCATGGGCATTCAATGTGCATCTTTCAATGTGTCATACAAAAATTATAATGAAAATTGAATTTAAACACGTCAAAATAATTCCCTCCAAGGCTTCTTTCAAGACAGCTAGAGTCGGTGCAAGAGTTTTATTGGATAAAATTAATTATTAAATGCATTGAAAACGTAATACGCTCAACATACTCTATAACATTAAAAAAGAACGTCTTTAAGTTAAAATTCAGACTAAATTGGCACATGTGCCCACCAGTTATTTGCCGACTTGACGTAAGGGCTCTTGGCCCCGAAGGGCACGGGTTGTTGGTCAAACCATCGCAACAAGTCTAACTCATCATATAATTTGTGAGAGAGGGTTTTGTGGTAAATATAAAATAATGTGGCAACATTATTGTTTGACCTAAAATTTGTCATAGGAATGCTGTGATTCAAGTTGTTGGAGTGTTGGCATTATATATTATTAGTAGATTACAAAATGCAGCTTCTAGGAAATATATATGGACTTCAATTTCCATAAACTTGACTTGTGAATTGGAGGGTTGAGTGAAGATCAAATTTGTGGTCGGACCATTGACCAAAGTTTGTTAATTGCTTTATTTGTTCAAAATTGTTTCACATGAAAAATAATTGAGATTGACTTCTTCCTTCCCCAGTATTCTTTAATAGTTGGTGTCTGGTTGGCACAATTTTAGTTATTTTACTGGTTTCGTGCTTCATTCAAATTATGTTTTTAAAAAGTTTTTTTTTTTTTTTTTTTTTTTTTTTTGTCATAACAAAATTAGATATGATATTTAACATAATGATTTATTATTTCTTATTACTTTGTAATTGATTTAACCCGATAAGGAGGATGCGTTAAATTATATCATTATATGTGAAAGGGCATGTTTGATTGTTTGCGGATCCGCCAATTTTTGGTGAATTTGACCTTCTTTTACTGTTTGACTCAATCAAACCGTTTAAGAAGATGTTTGGTAATTAGCGGATTGATTTTCAACTGTTGAAATTCCAAACGCAACGTTTTGGGTTTGGCGTATTGGTGAAAGACAACTTTTCTCCAAAATACCCCTGAACAACAAAAAAAAATTTTAAAAAAAATTGATTATTCAATCTGGAAGCCTCAAGGCTCCTATTATATAGGAGCCTTGAGGCTTCCTTTTTAATACCATCCAATGGGTATTGAATTTATTTGTAATGATTTTTTTTTTTTTAAAGAAAATGGATATTGAAATTTTAATGATGGGCATTCCCTCCTCCTTGGGTTTGTTGTTGATGTGGGACAAAGTTAAAAAGGAGAGCCTGCGCAACTCTCCTTTGTCCCTTTTTTTTTTTTTTTTTTTTTTTTTTTTTTTTTTTTTTTTTTTTTCCTTCTTATTACGGAGTACTAATTTAATATTTTTATTTATTTATTACTCCGTATTATACAATGTTCTTATAGATCATTTTACATGTTAACCGCTAATATTCAATAGCTAATTTTATCAAACATCTTTTTAAAAATCGCTGATACAATTTGCTGGTCAAACCCGCTAACACAATTCGCTATCTGATGATTGCCAAATAAGGCCATAGTGTGAATTCTTTTTTTTTTTTTTTTTTTTTGGTCCATCCACGAGGTGTCCGGCAAATTTTATCGTGCACCGTGGTGCATAATCGATTATGCACCGCGCATCAAAACGACGTCGTTTTGTTTAATGAAAAGAAACGACATTCGTTTCCCGCCGTTCCACACCATTTCGCAAAAAGTAACTCTATTATTCAGTTTCATTTTATATACACTGCAGTTTCAGTTCAACACAGCTACAGTTTCATTCGATATTTATAGACTCAAATATGTGAAAATCTTATTTAATTTTATTTTATATACACTATAATTTTATTAAAACACAACTAGATGATCATTTTGATATAATTACAGCTTCATTGTACAATATACACTCAAATATGTGAACTGTTATTCAGTTTCATTTTACTGCAGTATCATTTTGATATAACTGCATTTTCATTTGATAATATAAAAATAATACGTGAGGCAGTGTCGGTTTAGATATACTGTAGTGTCAGTTAATAATTAACATACAAAAAAATGCACGCTCCGTTAAAACTAACGGCGCACCGTTTCTTTACTTAAAGAAACAGCGCCGTTTTGACCACGGTGCACGTGCACCGCGGTCCACGATATGACGACCCTGAGGTGTCCTGAGCAGGTCCTAACTATAGAATGCACCTTTAAGCCTGTACCATACTCAGACTAATCATCTTTCACACCGGCCAAGTCCAATTAAGGGGCAAAATACTGATCAGATTGATTTTTTCATACAAGAGAAGGTTCGAACTCTCGACCTCTCTTAAGGGACGAGGGTGCACAACTAGGATAATTTGTACTTTTTTTTTTTACATTTTATATTTTAATAAATAAATACTCCCTCCGTCCCGAATTGGTTGTCTCATTTGCTTTTTGCACGCTTTTTAAGGAATTAAAGTAAATGCTATGTATTTTCCAATTATGCCCTTCACTTTTTCACTTTTGGAAATAAAAGCAAAAGTCATAAGGGTAATTTGGGAAAAAGTAGAATGATGGTGATGTTCAATTTTAGAAAGAGGACAACATTTTGGGACAAACTAAAAAGGAAAGTAAGACATGCAAAATGGGACAGAGGGAGTAACATTTTTAAAAATGACACTTGTCAAGCTTGGGAAGAATTAACCTACTATACTGGTCGATTTGGATACAATTGAACAATTTTACAGGTTTAGAAAATTTGAATGAAGTTTTTTTTTTTTTTTTTTTTTTACTTAGAGGGCTTAATTGCACTATTTGGATGACTTAGCCACATAGAGGCCAATTTAACTATTTTTTCCAAAACAACCTAACATTAACGGGGTGTTTGGTTGGTTGTAATTTAAATTCGTTTCCAAATAATGTAATTTGAATTTCTACATTATTTCTACTGAATTGCAATTCTTTTCCTTTCTAATTTCTTCCTCCAACCAATGTAAATGCATGCTTAGATGACTTTATTGGATTAATTCGGTCCAAATTATTATTGGATATAAAGGTTTTAAAGTTACATTATTGTATTTAATTTTATGTACAATATTTTCTTTAAAAAAAAAACGAAGAAAACACTTGTATTTCTATAATCTATACAGTCAGTAATTAATAATAAATAAATAAAACACTAATTGTAAGATGGGACCATCTAATTTGACAAATGATAATGCCGAGCCGCATTCTAATTTCTAACTATACCACTTAATAATTGACAGAATTATACTAATTAATCAATGAAATATTCTATAATGTTTTAAGAATGATACTATAAGCTAAACGGAAGATAATTTTTATGTAAATAGAAATATTCTTCTTCTTCTTATAAATGTATGTAATCTAGGGGTGTAAATGAGCCAAGCAGTTCGCGAGCCGCTTGCGAGCGGCTCGGTCAAAGCTCAGCTCGAGATCGGTCAAAATCAAGCTCGAGCCGAGCCTAGATATTCTAAGCTTGTTGCTCGCCGAGTCGCTCGCGAGCCATATAATATATAATATATATAATACATAATAATAATAATAATATATATAAATAACAGTTAGAAATTAAAATTTTAAACTAAAAATCCCTAAAAGATTCTATTATTTATGCATGGATAAAACAAAGTAGTTTGAATTTTAAATCAAAAGTATTAAATAAGTCAAATTCAATGTCAAAATCGAGCTCGAGCTCAAACTCAAGCCGAGCCTCCATTAACGAGCTCAAGCTCAAGCCCACCCAGGCTCAAGCTCGGCTCGGCTTGTTTACACCCCTAATGTAATCTACCTTCTTACTATTTGACGTTTTAATTTTTTCAGTGACGAGATAAACATGCAATCACTAT